ACATAACCTAAAACACCCAAAGACAAAATGAAAGGTGTGGTCAACACCATCTGGTAGATTGGAATTATTCGAGATTCAGCCTCACTCAAAGTCACAGTTTTAAGGGGATTGGGAGATCAATGAAAGAGGAATAAACAGGAGGTGGCTCTAAATGTAGCAGTGGCTTTTGATGGCTGATGTAGGAGTTGGCAGTGACAAGCCCTGATCTAACATGCATGTTCAGTGCCTCACAGCCTCTGCCAGACCTTTCGGATAACTGGAAAAATGTCCTCAGCTTCGTGGGCTCCTGTGAAAGGGAATCAGTGATTGCTCAGAAAAGGTTTGCGACAAGCTTGGCAAGAATAAAAACACCACTGCGTAGGAAAGAAAAAAGAGAAATGAAGGCTGGTGCTTCCAGATTTGCGCCTGTGGCTCAGAAGTTCTCAACTCAAGTTTAGATTTAAGGAATCTCTCCCTAAAGAATGTCACGTAGCTCAATAAAAGCAACTAAAATAGAACATTCCAAGCATTGTTGATTGAAAAACAATTTACATTTCAAGTGTAATTTTGACAATACTGTGAATATTTTTGTGATCTCAAGGTTATTTCTTAAAACAAGAGTCAGGTCCTTTTTTTTTTTTTTTTTTTTTTTACATGTTTAGTATATACAAAGTTGGCAGAATGGTGAGGGGGTAGGAGAGGAAAAGGAGAAAGAGACTGATAATAAAGATTAACAGTCCTGCAGTAAACATCCTATATAGTACTTAATAAGTAAAGGACAACAAAAGAAATAAAGGATATAAAACAGAAGAAAAGTATATTAAAAAATTCAGACACTAAAAAGGGAAAACAGTTAAGGAGATGATAAGCCAAGTGGTGTAACTTAGGCAACTGGTGGGAAGTCACTGGCCTCATGAGAAACAGGTGTTGAACCCTTTGCAGCACACCTTGGCGAGTGTCTCCCCTTTGGTTGGTTGGGTACCACATCAAACAGCAAGGCAATAACGTTGCCCTGTCCTGGGATCTGTGTATACCAGGTCTGCAATGAGCAGAATGACTCACAGGGGCCTCCCTCAATGACCAAGTATACCATAATTTTTTTAATGATCCATCTATATCCTATCTAATAAAAGAGAAACATGGTAATTAGCGTATGACCGCTACCCTTCCCATTGGCTAATCAGCCAGATATGCAAATTAACTGCCAGCCAAGATGGCGGCCGGCAGCCAGGCAGCTTGAAACTAACATGAGGCTTGCTTGCTTCAGTGACGCGGGACTCCAACGTTCCCCGCCTGCCTTGCCGGCCTCTGAGCCTGCAGTTTAAGAAACATTGTAACAAATATAGAAGCTAAACAAAACCCCAGAAACCTGCTTTCAGTGAGCCGGGATCTCAGAGCTGGAGTTATACATTGTTTCGATTATAGAACCAAAACAAACCAGATACCTGCTTTCAGCAGGGGAAGCCTCAGAGCTGGAGCCTCAGAGCTAAAGCTGGCCCAGAATAAAAAAAAAAAAAAGAAAAAAAGGAGCAGTTGGGAGCTTCAGTCACCCACCAGCCTGAAAACAGCCCTCAGCCCCTCATCCAGACTGGCCAGGCACCCTAGTGGGGACCCCCACCCTGAAGGGTGTGTGACCAGCTGCAAACAGCCATCATCCCCTCACCCAGGCTGGCCATGCACCCCAGTGGGGACCCCCACCCTGATCCAGGACACCCTTCAGGGCAAACCAGCCAGCCCCACCCATGCACCAGGCCTCTATCCTATATAGTAAAAGGGTAATATGCCTCCCAGCACCGGGATCAGCGTGACAGGGGGCAGCGCCCAAACCCCCTGATTGCCCTGCGGCTCTGTGACAGGGGGCAGGGCCACAACCTCCCAATCCGCCCTGCTCTGTTCGTGACAGGGGAAGGTGCCCCAACCTCCTTATCAGCCCTGCTCTGTGACTGATACGGGGGAGCTCCCAAACCCCCTGCTCGCCCTGCGGCTCTGTGTGTGACAGGGTGCGGCGCCCCAACCCCCTGATCGGCCCTGCTATGTGTGTGACAGGGTGCGGCGCCCCAACCCCCTGATTGGCCCTGCTCTGTGCGTGACAGGGGGTGGCGCCGCAACCTCCCCATCGACCCTGCCTTGAGTGTGACTGGGGCGGTGCCCCAACCCCCCAATCGGCCCTACCCTGAGCGTGACTGAGGGTGGCATCGCAACCTCCCGATCCGCCCTGCTCTGTGCATGACAGGGGGCGGCGCCCCAACTCCCCAATCGGCCCTGCTCTGAGCCCGACCAGGGGCTGTACCTAGGGATTGGGCCTGCCCTCTGCCACCCGGGAGCAGGCCTAAGCCAGCAGGGCGTTATCTCCCGAGGGGTCCCAGACTGCGAGAGGGCACAGGCCAGGCTGAGGGACCCTCCCGAGTGCACAAATTTTTGTGCACTGGGCCTCTAGTATATATATAAAAGGCTAATATGCAAAGTGTCCCCTCGGGAGTTCGACCGGGAGACCGGGAGTTTGATCACTCATTATGACATGTGCTGACCATCAGGGGGCAGCACAGAATGAAGGGAGACCTGGCCAGCAGCCGGAAGGCCCCGATTGGCCCTGATTGCAGGCCAGTCCTAGGGACCCTACTCATGCACAAAATTCGTGCACCGGGCCTCTAGTATTAGAATAAAAGAAGAGAACAATACAATATAGCCTTTCTTAAGAGTAGAAAAAGAAGTTAATTCTTGCAAGTACAATGCCTTAAAACAAAACTCTTGAAAAGATGAAAACATTTCAATTTTTCACTGCAACACTTCACCCCTCCCTCAAAAAAAAAAGGGGGGGGGAAAGAAACCTAATGAAAAAAATAAAACTACAAGTGAAAGCTGTTCCTGAAAACTTTGCAGAATTGTAACAACTTTCTCCTGGTTAAATTGATTGGTATAGCAACATTATAAAATGACTATTAGGATTCATTGTGCACAACAGAAAGTGCTGAAATGTCAGCAGACTGTACAGCAAAAAGTAATGGGTTCTGAACCCCTGTTAGTCAAAAATGATTTTGTTTCAAATTAGAAATTGATTTTTTTTGGACACAAGCCCTTTCCAGGCTTCCGGCTTCTGTGGCCGGGCCCGGGAGAGATTAACCTCTGCCTTGGCAAGGGCTGGCCAGATACCTTTTTCAAAGTGCCTTTTCCATCGCAGCTTTCTAATGTGGCTATGGTCTTAACCAATCACACAGGTTATTTGTCCCTTTGCTATTACACCACGTTTTTCTCATTGTGACATTTTATTTTAGTGCTGACATACAACACAAATTTGGTGACAAGTTAACAGAAGACTGCATTAAGCCTTGCGGTGCAACCACCACACCAATTCTGACTGGTTCTCCACTCTGCAAAGTGTGATGATTGAGAATGAGAAAGCCCTGGAAGAGCTGCCCCTCTCTGAAGGACCACCCATAGAGAGGGATGATGGTTCCATCTCAGGTTCTGAGCCTCCTGAATTGCATATTTGTTTCTACGTTACTGAAGGCGATAGAAATCTGCAGAACTTTTCACTATGTCAAACAAAATAAACTTTTGCTTTGGTTTCAGATTGTGCCTAGACTCCCTTCTGAAGTTTGGACTAATTATCATCAATTATCGGGGAGAGAATTAAACAATTTCTAGATTAATCACAATTAAAACCAAACAACATGATAATGCTGGCAGACAGGAGGGAAGGATGGAGCCACATCTGCAGCTCTCATAAAGCACCCACATCTCTCGGGAGGCAGGTGAGAGCGGCTGGAGAGCTGATGAAAATGTGGCCACTTTGCCCTGACCGATGTGGCTCAGTGGATTGAGCATCAGCCTGCAGACTCAAGGGTCCCAGGTTCGATTCCAGTCAAGGGCATGTACCTTGGTTGCGGGCACATTCCCAGTAGGGAGTGTGCAGAAGGCAGCTGATTGATGTTTCTCTCTCATCGATGTTTCTAACTCTCTATTCCTCTCCCTTCCTCTCTGTAAAAAATCAATAAAGTATATTTTAAAAAAACACACAAAACAAACAGTTTAAAAAAAAGAAAATGTGGCCGCTTATACCAGACCTGGGCGGGGCAAGCCCAATGAAAAAGAGGCAGATCAGAAGGAAATCAGGGTCAATGGCTGTGAGCAGGAAAGAAAGGTGTGTGGAAAGAGGTGGGAGCAGAGGTGCCACGCCCTTTTTGGCCCTTTGTTTCCTGTGGAGCTCTTCTGTACAATATGCCAAACTCCTCCCACTCTGCTCCTAAATCCTTCCCTTCATAATTCCAGGAGAACTTGGGGTGGTGAACACACAATACAATATATGGATGATGTGTTAGAGAATTGTACACCTGAAGCCTATATAATTTTATTAAACAATGTCACCCCAATAAATCCAATAAAAAAGAAAAAAAAATAATTCCAGGAGAGATGAAGTCAGAGCCACTCCAGAAACAACTGGGAAACACAATTACATTTAACTGCTTCACTCAACATTTCACACAGCTGTTTATAATTGATTTAAAAAAAATCCATGACATATAAAATAAGAAGAATCACTGGTACTTAAGACTGCTAGGCAATATACGCTTCAGACTTATGAGGTTCTGTTGCAGCCACAATGTAGAATTTATCCATGACCTCTCCTCCACCCTCCCCATATTTCCAGTTAATTGAAGATTAACTGTAGTTGTTAGAGTTTACTTTCCCGGCAGAGATTTATGTTCAGTTTCTTGTCCTCTTTACTCACTTTGAGCATTATTTTGTGTCTATGATCATACTTACTGCTGAATAATTCTTACGGTTTGCTGCTTGCAGAAAGAGGGACAAATGGGATAGTTTCTCGTATGAGAATTCTAAGAGAAATGCTGATGTAATTCATGGATGGGGAAGGGATACTATGGCCTTGCAGGCACATGTTAGCTTGTGACATATTTAACCTGCTCAGGGTTGTAGGAAATCATCTGGAGGTCGTGGTTAGTAAGATTCTAAAACTCCCCAGAAGCAGGTTCTCATTTTGCTCCTATAGACGCTAAGCTTACCTCTTTGGGGTCGATATGTATCTGTCTTTTGACATGTCCACAGGGCATCATCTTCCATAGGTGACTGAAATCCAACTGTTTTCTTTTCTCTTCTAGTCTCTCCACTGTTACTGGACTCTGGGTGCTTTTTGATGGATGATGATGTTCCAAGCAGCCAACCATCACATGCTGACTTCAACAAACTGAAAAGAATAGATATGAGTGAGCTGCAGAGAGTACAGAAGGGGTACAGATTCCTCAAAGGTGTATAAATTCTGCATGAGTTGAAATACAATTCATGGCAGGAAAGACTTTCTTATTTTTTAAAACTGAGGTATAATTTAAACAATTTATTGAAGGTCTATTTTGTGTCCTGTCACAACAATGTTGGGGAAGAAATTGTCTTTATCCTCCAAAAGCCTGTACTTGGATTTGGGGAACTGAGACTCAAACCCAGGAAACTGCTAATAAAGCCGCCGAGTATGACAAAGAGCCAGAGTATCTGCAGAAGTAACAAGAAAAGCAAACTAAACAGGACCTGCGTCACTGAAGTGCTTCCAAGTACCAAAGATGAACATCAGGAATTAAAATATCACCAATTTGCTTCAAAGTGCATTTGTGTTTCCCATTTTTAATTGTTAGAGTATTTATTATGTACCCAGAGTATAGAAGAAGGCAGTAGGACAGTGCATGTGGAAGAGTTGGTCTCTGTCCTCACATAATTCCATTATAAAGCAACAAGGTAAATACGGAGTAGGAGGAATTTTAGTAAAAATAAACACGTGCATATGCTTTGCTCTAAACTAAACTGTGTTCCCATCTTAGCACATTTCCTCTCATAACATTTTATTTTTTAGAGTAATGTTCTGATGATGTATATTTATACCTTACTATTCAACCAGCCTTTTCCTTCTAACATAAGTTCACCACAGACTCATGACACTTTGGTTTCTCTTCTCCGTGCCCATAAAGTAAAAATTAAAAGTGAAGAAAAAGACTTTTACTCAAAAAGTAAAGTTCTAAAAATTAAGATGTTTAAACTCCCCAGAAGCAGAGATAATATCTAGATGAGAAAGAACTGAGAGTATTACTGGATCCATTACTGAGCCCCCGTAGCCTTGGGGCAGAAGTCAAATCACGTAAACCCATCAAAGTCACTGACCTTCTGTTTGTAGTGATCAGAATTTTTAGTAATGTTTGTTCATATTTTATTTAATTAATAAAAAACAAGAAATCAAATGGCTTTGTGCAGTATAGTTTTATGCTGGCATAATGCAATGTATTATATTTATACTCTAAAGATTTTCTTCTTTACCAGAACCTAGGGATCACTTTCCCATGAGGAACACTAATGGATGTGTATCTTAGCTCATAAAACCTCTATTCATGGAACAGGAAAACAGGAGACTAAAACTAACTCACTGTGAATGTAAGATAAATAACTTACACCAGAAGCCGCAAACCCAGGCAAATCCAACTCTGCACATCTGCTTGTTACTGTGACCAAGACTGCTACTGGCTTCCCCCAGGTTCACTCAGCAGCTCAGCTGAGCTCTCAACACCAACCAATTCCGCTCAGTTGCAATACCGATTGCTTCCTGCTCCTTTACCCCAGTTTACACAGGAGCTCTTCTGCAGCTTCATTCCAAACCCCATCCTGGTAATCCTCTAACTCAACAGGGAACTTGGTTTCTAATTTTCCTAAAATAAGAATGACTGTATAAAAAAGTTGTTATTTCCTTTGCATTTATTCCCATCTTTACCCATCTATGATTCCTCTCCTTATATTTCTGAAGAAAATCATACCTTTTACTCATACTATTTAAAAAATATATTTTTATTGATTTTTTTGAGGGGGGGGAGGGAGAGGGAGAGAGAAACATTGATGTGAGAGTGAAACATCTATTGGTTGCCCCCCCTATGGGAATCAAACTGGCAAGCTTTCGTGCCGGAAGCCGGTCCATCCTTGCTGCTTGACACAGTCGCTGCAGGATTGAAACATCTGCACAGCACATGTTTCAAGGGACCTGGCGTATATAGCATACTGTTCTTAATATGTTTGCTCCCCTTAGCGCTGTGTGTTTTAACCAAGGTCACCTCTCCAAGAAAGGTTGTTTCCCCAGGTAGGAATTTTTCCCTGAAGTCAGGGAGGGGATGAAACTCCTTAACTAAGTGCCAGGCGGGTAGTTAATCACTACAAACAATCATGCTTAAGCTACATAATCTTTACTCCCTGGAATGGAGATAAGAAACGCCCTAACCTTTGTAATAGAAATTGACAGGATTAAAATCAACTGGGATAAATACAGATGTAACAAGACAATAAACAGCAGAACTTCGCTGGAGATCCAGACCAGAACTTGGCTGGAGATCCTGGCTGGAGATCCTGGCTAGGCTGCTGATCAACTGAACACTGTCTCCGTGTCCTTCCTTCTTCGCCGACTCCGTCTACACCTTTGGGAACCCCTGGACCTGCTGGGGTTGGACCCCGGCACTTTCGGTGCACAGGATGACTACCAACCAACTGAGCCACTCCAGCCAGGCCTATTCATACTCTTGATACCATTTTGACTCATGCCCTCTGTGACTATGGCCTGTTAATCATCTCCTTTTCTTAATACTTATAAACTCCTTCCTCCTCTCAACTGGATTTTGTCTTGGAATTACAAACAAGATCAAACTTTCCATTAAAAATCAAAGCCAAACTTAAACCTAAAACTACTTTTCTTAAGTGGGAAAGTATAATAATACTTGATGTCAGTGAGGGTGTGGAACGACAGCATTTTAATAACTGCTGAAGGAACTGCACATTGGTATTGCCCTTTTGTGGGTGATATGTCAACACAAATAAAATAAGTAAAAATACACCTACCCTCTGTTAGGTCTGATCGAACAATTGAATTGATATCCCCACCCTTGAGAAACTGTAATGACATTCCAATTCCCTTAGACCACATTCCATTTGCTAAGACCAGTACCTTTCCCTTGCCCAAGATCTGGACCTGCTCAGAAAATTCCCCTAGGAAAAAGCCCACTAGAGTCCTTTAAAAACTCTGACTCCCCGGTCTCTCGGTGCTGCCGCCATTTTGGGGCTCAGCCCATCTGGTTTCCAGATGATTTAATTAAGTTTATAATTCTTTACCACTTTCTGCCTTGTGCATTCTTCCTTTGGAGACCCTAAACACCCTCCAGATAATTCTGCTTTTAAGAAGTTATCCCATGAAGGATGGTCATAGCAGAATCTCTCTATATAAAAGGCTAATATGCAGTGTCCCCTCAGGAATTCAACCAGGAGACAGGGAGTTCGATCGTTTGCTATGACCTGCGCTGAACATTAGGGGGTGGCGTGGAACGAAGGAAAGCCCCAGCCAGCAGCCAGAAGGAAGGCCCTGATCGGCCCTGATCGCCAGCCACGCCTAGGGACCCTACCTGTGCACGGATTTCGTGCACCGGACCTCTATTGCATAATTTTTATCTTGAAACTAGTTCCTCCATCTGTTTCCATTCTCATTATTTATAATAGTGAAAAACTGAAGGCAAAGATCATTCAATAGGAGAATAAGAAAATAAACTATGATGCATCCATCATGAGGAATACTATTCAGCCATTAAAAGAAATGAGATACATAGTTCTCCATACTATTGTGGAGAAACTTCATGATATACTATTAAGTTTTTAAAAAAGCAATTTGCAATAAAAGAATATACACAAATATTTTTAAAGTGCTGAACACATAAATACCAAATCAGAGAAGTAGAAATAGAATGGCTAAGAAAAATACTTCTATAATTTAATTTGTATTCTTCTGAATGTTCTAATTCCAATAGGCATGTACTCTTATAATTAAAAATTAAAAACTTGCAGCATCTCCTTTATATTACCACTTCCTCTTTCCCTTCTCTGCCAGACTTCTAGAAACAGTAATTAATTTTAGCAGACATACCTAGTAAAACTATTTTTTAAAGGACAAATCTAATGGACTTTTCTTTTTCAACAGTCTTGCTTGTTACTAGACCAACAATTGAAACATTTTTCCCTTAGACTTCATAATATATTATCTTGATTGTTGCAATAGTTTAAAGAGGCTTCTACTCAGATTCGTTTACTGGGAACTCTTTTACTTCTTCTCCCTTAATGGAGACATTCCTGAAGATTCTGTCCTTGTCCTTCTCCTTCGCACTTTCTCAGGGATCCGTGCCACACCATTGTATTGTCAATAATGATTTCTAAATAGATTTGCCCAGCCTATAGTGCTGTCCACAATTGCTACCTTATCAAGTACCTCCTGAAAAGCTGTGAAAGGATGTCATGTCATACTTTCCAAACCAACTCATGTCAAAGCAATGCATAATCTTTATCTTGAAACTAGTTCCTCCATCTGTTTCCATTTTCATTGAATGCAAGCCCTATTCTCCTTGTCACTCAGATGAAAAACTCCAGTTGTCTCAACTTCTGGTTTCCTTATTCCTGTTCAATAAATTACAAGGTCAATCATTCACTTATATATTCATCAGCTATTTATTGATGACACACTCTGTGACAATGTAATATGCCATGGGACTGGGGTGGGCAAACTTGAAAACAGGTATTTACTGAGTACTTGATACATGCTGGATAATGGGTATACAAACATAGGTATACAAAGACCCTCTGGTTCATATTTTCAAAGTGATTTAAAGTTGGAGACAGAGGTGGAAACAAATCCTTTAAAGTCTGGAAAGATAAAAGCTGTAATTCAGGAACACACAAGTTGTTTTGGGAACACAGAGGCAGGGCACCTAAAGCTATCTGTACAACAAAAGGGAAATTCCGGAAGCACTTAAACCAAATCTTAGTGGTTAAGCAGAAGATAAGGATGAAGGGTGGGAGGCAAACGAAAACAGTATTAGCAAATATACCAAATAGTAAAACTTGATCATATATTTTGGACAAGTTAAATAGTTTGGAATTGTTATAACATCAAATGTGGGATATGGGTGGAGAGAAGAGGAAGGTGAAACAGGACAGATATGGGAGGGTCAGATCTTGAAAGGTTTGGTCTTCCATGTCAAAGGGCTTGAACTCTATCTTATAGGCAAGGCAGAATCATTAAAGGGCTGTCTGTAAGGGGGAAAATGACACGATCCACCTCAAATTTATGAAAAATTACTCTGGCACCATTTCGAGAACAGACTGCAAGAAGCTATGAGTCAGAGGTGCTGG